TATATATATAGTTACTGAACAACATGGGTCCTAAACAGAATCATATTTCCTGATGCACCAACAAGTAAAATAAAATAACCTACTCTAACTTATTTTAGTTTATTTAAAATCAATCCATCTAATAATTGTCACTTTTAACCCAAATATAATTTGTAAGGTCGTAAGTTAGGTCTTCATAAGTTGGTTACAGTAACACCATCCTTCCAGCTGCAGTTTTAGGTTCTATCTTTTGTGTTCTATTAAATTTGCAAAATATTTTGATAAAAATCTCTACAAACACTGTTTAATTATTCAGATAGAAMTGTATCAGAGCAACCTTTTCTTTACCCTTGAACCCCATCATCCACACAGCTAAAACTGATCTAGTAATTTACTCTGAAATCACTGTTTACATAAAATGACAGACAGAACTCTGAAGCTGCCTACAAGAAACAATCCAAACTAAACAAATTAGCAGAAACTACCAGCAGGAGAGACATGAGAAAGTGGAACGCACTGAAACAATTTTTTTAGTGTTCAAGATCACATTGAGGAGATCATTTTGGTTTATCTTAGTGTAACTGCTTCCCCCCCCCCCCCACACACACACACACACCAAACTTTATAGGGACAAGATTAATCACCGATAGAATGTGTTTAATACGTTAAACCTGTTACATTAATCCTGAATTATACAAATACTAGTATCTGATTATGGTTAAGTGCAATCTTGGTGTGTCTGTGTGATGGGAGGTGTGTGTGTGTGTGTGTGTGTGTCTCTGTGTGTAGGGGTGTCGGGGGTGTTTGTGTGTGTGTATATAAGGAGATAAGGGGGGTTTAGATCGAAACAAAATTGTTCTCTGGTTCGATACTTGACATCCTAACACTAATATTGCTTCCATTAATAAAGAGGTTTCTTTTACTTCTCAGTGTGGCTTCAGTGGATTTTTTTTTTTTTGGAAGTTTCTGCTTCATTGCACAATTTTTTTTTCAAATTTTCTAAATGAAAAACTTAATTTTCTTCCTGGCTAACCAAATGAAAACATGCAACATCAAGTTAGAACATGTTTTCCTTAAACGAGAACATAC